GTGCTTGAGGGGGAGTATTAGGACTATGTTATCCATATTAGACTAGGACTATGTTATCCATATTAGACTAGGAATATATTATTCGTGTTAGACTAGGATTCTATCTAGTATCTATATATTCGCTCTCTGTACTCTCAGACATTATGATTGAATACAACACAATCTATATTCTCATCATAAATGATGGTGAAGTGATATGCTACTCACTATAATCTAAGCATAGAAGCAACCTCCCAAGTAATAGTATGGGTGCAGTGATTTACATATCATTTAACAAAATATAAATATAATTACAAAATTTCTTATCATTTAACAAAATATAAATATAATTACAAAATTTTAAGAAATACTTAACAAAATTAATGTATTTCTTAAACATGACTCTAATCGTATAATAGTCCTATCAATTATGTGGCACATACAGTCTTATGTCAGTTTGTTTTATATCCTAGACATAAGACATGTATAGAGGTTGGTTTAGGTAGACATGTATAGAGGTAGAAAATATATAACACATTGGTCACGTGCAGTTATGTCTATATAAAATTATAAATCCAGCATTTTCTTTGCAGAGGGCATGTGAATATGTCTCTTGGCGGCTTCATGTTGAACATGACATCCAAAAATAAATTAATTAATTAATTAATGAAATGACCGCCCTATGATATGACGATGAATGTAGCCCGCAAGCAATTATTATTGTGTAGATCATATTATTAAATAGTAGTATACATTTAATACAAAATTAATGTCTTTTTAATATATTAAAAATATATTCTATATATTATATTCAGAAAAATACATGATTTGAGTACTACATCAATACACAAATAATGTACTTTTAATATATTAAAATTTTATTTTTTGTTATGGTCCACACAACACTTTGTGGATCATGCTCCACACAATAATTATAGATTTATAGTATTAGACATTTACACCTCACTTTATTTTAAGACACGAAAGGTAACCGATGGTCCAATCTTGACAAAGTGGTCCTGAAGATATCCAACACTATCTAACCCATAGTTTTTACTCAACACTACCAATTCAAAGTATGACTTATGTAAGTTGGAATTATGTATTATTGAAATATTATTTTTAATTTTATATTAATTAATTACGAGCGATCACATAATTATTTATATTTAATTTTTTTTTATGACGAAAGAAACCTGCCACCACTATCCGAAACTATACATGCATTAGGTAAACTCACCTTGTGACCTTAGTCGGGAAAAGACTACAATAAGATAAACCAGGTTAAGCTACACATTGCTAACCGACTTAAACCAAGATAGCTGACCAATAGGCCACTCCCACTAGGAGCTGAACTTGGAAGTATATATATTTAGGAGGTGTTTGGCTGATTGAATTAGTTGATAGCTGATTGAGTTAGCTAGTTTGACTAATTGATAGTATTAACTAATTGTAAAAAAGTGTTTAGTAAATTAGTTGTTTACACTTAACTAATTACATGTAAAATGATCAATAAGGGCAACAACATCAACAATAATAATAATAATAATTGAAAATCTCTATTCAAAGTCGTAGGTATAATGACATAATAATAATTGAAATTTTTTTGCCCATGCTAGTATTTCATCCTTAAAGTTGTTCTCTTTTTTTTTTTTTTTTTTTTTTTTTTTTTTTTTTTTTTTTTTTTTCCTATCTATAACTCTTTGATAATTATTATTTTGTCCCTAATTATTAGACAAATACCTTCTACGACAACTTTTTCACTCTGAAATATTTTAATTGATTGTAACTCTTCACATTTGTATAGGGAATTATTAATCTAAAAATTTGAGCAAAAAATAGTTGAATTTCCTGACATTTTACACTATTTGAAGTTTTGAATATTAGGAAATTCACTGCTTCACCCTCAAAATTTTAAATTTAAGATTCATGATGTAGATGTGGAGAGTGACATCCACTTGAAGTGTCCGCTAGTAAATAAAAAAAGAAATTATTGATAGAAGGTTTAATGCAATAATTAAAGTAAAAAATAACAATTGTTTAAAAATTAGGAACGAAAAGAGAAACTTGGATAAAAATTTAATGACAAAATATGAGCACAATCAATAACTAAAGACGAAAATAACAATTACCTAAAAATTTAGGGAGAAAATTCTCTTTATTTTTTCAGAATTCAAACTATTGTTGAATATTATTTAGAAAATGTCGTTAACATTTACTGTTCCATTTAAAATGTTTGAACATAATGCCTTATTATTTAAAGATTATATTAATCATTAGCTACATCGACTCCAATAATTAGATGATTAAATATCCATCAATTAAAAATTATGAATTCAATTTTAAATTACCATTATTTTTAAAGTTTAAATTATACCGAACTTTTTTAATGGAAAAAAATTAAAAAAAAAAAAAAAAAAAAAAGAGACAAAAGCAGCACACCAGCAGTGCCTGCATGGTGGTGGCCTGATGTATTAATTAAATTGGAATTTTCTCTGAAACAACCTCAATTATTGTTTGTTTAAATTTCCAGATGAAAACGATATTTTTATCGTTTCTTTTTTAGTTAATATATTTTTTTCCATGTTGCTATTAATCTATTAGTATATGTTTGATCCCATAATTAAATTATACGGAGTATATGACTTATCTTGAACTTTAAATATTGAGCACCACTGCTACGGCTTGGCGGCAAATTATTGTGTGGTTCGTGGACCACGGTCCAAAACGACGTCGTTGAATATTATGAGTTAGAATAATGTATTTTATGAGTTAAAATAATGTACTTTATGTGTTAGAATAATGTACATTATGTGTTTGAATAATGTATTTTTTGTGTTAAAATAATGTAATTTATGTTAGAATAATGAAACTTCTGGAGTAAAATAATGTATTTTATGAGTTAGAATAATGTACTTTATGAGTTAGAATAATATACATTATGTTTTAGAATAATGTACATTATAAAAATGTATGTTACAACGAATCGCGTGAAAAAATTTACACGAAACGATGTCGCTTTTAGATATGTGTGGACCACGGTCCACTTATTGATGTTTGGCTACCCCAATAATTTGCCAACCGATAATTAATTAATCTCATTTCCAATATATATATATATATATATATATATATATATATATATATATATATATATATATATATATATATATGTATGTATGTATAATTTATTAAATATGTATTAATTAATTATTCTAGTTTAGGCATGCTGTTGATGAATAGATTCTTGTTTATCTTATTTTATAATCCGCTGGACAGCCACCGGTTTTGTGTTTATTGCATATTCTTTTTAAAGATTACCTAATAACTATAACGGATAATGCTGATAAATCTAGTACCAACAGAAAATGATTTATTATTATTTGAGAAAATTATACATTTGATTATCATATTATATATATATAAATATTGTTTAAAAATAAACTTTTTAATAATGTGAAAATTATTGAAATTAATTTGTGACGTGAATTTTAAGATTTACTGTTCTTGAGTGAGGCACAATAAAAGCAACATTAACAATTGAGATTTTTTTTGAAGTTGTTGGCCGTGGCATATAGCAATGGTCTTGTGACAAAAAAACACAACAGACAAATTAAAAAAAAAATAAAAAAATAAAAAAAAAATTCAAAGTGACAGCCAGCTAACAATCACTCTGAAATGTCCGGCGATACATTTTTGAAAATGTGTTCGCTAGGGGCAGGCACTCCACACACGCCTTTTTTGTATGAGGAAAATTTTAACAAAAACCCCCCTCTTTCCTTTGGTTAAAAATTTCACCCTAATTTTTTTTATTTTTTAAATTTTTTTTGAAAAAAATCTCACAAGAACTATTGTTGTAAGTATTCTAACTCATAATTGACTGGTTGAAATAAATATGTTAATATGTTATTCTCATTGAAAGAAAGTTTTTTAATCTTGTGATTATCCAATTGGTTAGGGTTGTCAGAATATTTACTGTTCTTTGTTTTTTAAACGAATATTTACTGTTCTTATTAAGTGACTAGTGTAAGGAAAAGAAAGTCATTTTCTTTTGAGAATTCTACATTTTTTTGTACTCTCATTTTTTACTTCCTATGATGTAATATGCTTTGACTAGGAGTCATGATTTTCTCATTCTTTTTTTTTTTTTCTAATAAAATTTGAATATTTAGTGAGAGTAAAAGTTAGAGAATAAATTTTAAACTATACAATGTATATTTAAACTAATATATTTAGGCCATATTTGGTAAATGGTTGTTAGTTGTTAGATGATTGGGTTAATTAAAGGATATTGTTAGCTAATTATCGGGTTAATTAGAGGATATAAAAGGATATTATTAGCTAATTGTTGGGTTAATTAAAGGATATACTAGTTGATAACATTAGCTGATTGTATAACTAGTTGATAACATTAGATTGTAGAAAGGTGTTTGGGTAAATTATAACTAATAGTTGTTTGATATAAGATAAACTAAGGGTGTGTTTGGTTCGCACATAGGAATCGGAATAGGAATGAGTATCAAATACTTGGTAATAGTAATGAGTTTTGGTGAAAGTATTTAGCATGTTTGGTAGTAGGGTGGAATGAGAATGGTTACTAATAATAGTGCTTGAGAATGAATAAGGGAATGAAATCCTTATTTTATTTGAATATGAATTTTTCAAATAAAGGGCATTCGAAAACTATAATAGTATTTTAAAAACCTATCAATTAATAATAACAATCACTTCTAAAAATCTATCAACCAAATAATAACAATCACTTTTATACCCATGAACCCGTCAACCAAACACACCCTAATTATTTTACCAAACAAGTCCTTAGCCTACTTAGTCAAGCTTGACAACTAACCAGAAGTCCCCTGCGGAGGAATTACTGAGAACGGTAAATCATCGAGGTTATTGACTTATTTCTAAGTTTATGAATTAGAAGGGTTAATCACTGTCAAACTATCGAACTATGGTTGATCTGTACCCAAAAATGAAAAGTAAAGCAGAAATCGAATGAATGCAAGATATGATACAGAGAAGTTTAATAGATCGAATTGAACAAGTTATATTAATCTCTCAATATCTACAGTAGAAATACTGCAGATTCGGATCCATTTGATTCATTGAAGAAGAATATACATCCAACTGAATCAAAGATTCAAAAAAGGAAGTTCTGTATATACAAAGAAATTCAGGAATTATTCTTTTTTATTTATTTTTAATTTTGTGAATTGATTTGGGATTTGAATTCAATATCCCTCACAAACGGGTGTTGCAGAAGTTGTTGCGTGCTCCACCTCTTACTGGATTCCTTCTGCAAACAGGAATCTATAAAGTCCTTGAACTCCGGTGAAGCTCCGGCCGGCAAGTTGGGCGGTTCGCAGAAACATATGGCGCACATTAGCGTTGCCCAGTCGGGCCTCTGCCCCTCGTGCAGGAAGGGAAAGTAGCCCATGTAAAGCTCCATCAGGGTCAGCCCCAAGCTCCAGATGTCTCCGGCGTAACCGTTGTAATTCCCGCCGTTTGTGTCCGGATCGAACCTCTCCGGGCTCATATAGGCGCAAGTTCCGACGTATGAGTTGCAGGGGTCCAAACTCCGGCACATCATTTTACTCACGCCGAAGTCCGCTATTTTCACCTCCATCTCACGATTAACCAGAAGGTTCGCCGGCTTGAGATCTCGGTGGATGATTTTGTGAGAGTGCAAGTAATCGAGGCCGAGGAGCACTTGCTTAGCGATTTTCGCCAGGGAGGCTTCAGAGAACACTTTCTTCTCCGATGATTTCATCAAGCTTTCTAGGGTTCCGGCGTCCATGTACTCCATCAGGATCGCGATGTCGCCGCCGGGAATATCGGAGGTGCCGTGACACTTGATCACGTGCGGCGAGTCCGTGGACCGGAGGATGGAGATCTCGCGGAAGATCTGGCGGCGGACGGCGGGGTCGCTGTCGCCGTGGACGACTTTGAGGGCGTAGACCGCCGAAGTCCGCTTGTGGCGCACTTTGTAAACTGTGCCGCCGTTGCCGTGGCCGAGGACGTGGAGTTTCTCGAAGTCCGACATGGAGAACGCGGCGGAGGAAGTTGTGGTTGTTGAAGAAGAAGGAGCAGCGCCGGCCGTGTTAGAAGAAGGCGGGAGAGGCAAGGGGAAACGAGGGCGGCGTTGGGAGGGTTCCGGCAGAGGGAGGCGGAGATTGATCTGTCGCCGTTCACGTACAAGCGCCATTGATTTTTTTTGCCGTTGAGATTTCGGAATGTTCGGATGAGGATATAGAAGGGGAGTGGGTTATATAAGTGGAGGAGATAAAGCACGTGGAAAATGGATAGCCGTTTGGCGTAGGAAGGTGTGAGGATATGAGAGGATGAGTGAGGGCCCAAATGCCATACTATGGATTGGCTTCACTTTTAACGGTGCGCGCGGTTGGCCGCCACGAAGCGACAATCACGACACTTGGAGTAAATTAATACTTGCCCACTTGGAATAATTAGTTAATAACAATGCTATATACGTTTAAACCCTAAATCTAAAACTCCTCTCAATTTTTTTACCATTGAACTATGCCCCAGGAGCAATTAAAATACTATATCCTTGGTTTACGAAATAAACGTTTTACTTTGAAAATATGAATGTTATTCCATAAAGAATGAAATAGAAAAAAAATTATATTTTATTATTTGGTTCATTAAAGGAAAGACTTTATAAATTTTATTTCAGTGTTTGGTTTGATTAAGGAATTGAATAGAAATGAAATATATTTTTAAAAGAAATAAATATCTCTATACAAAATATATAATAATAATAATAGTAATAATAATAATACTGTTATTATTATTATACAATTTTTTTAAATAATATTATTTTATTGCAACTATAGTCTTTTATTTTTTTAAAAAAATTATGATGTGTAAGTTATGAAACAAAATATTTATACAAGTAACCAAAAAAAGTTTGAAGAACATTTAATAATATTCAATAAATAAGAATAACATAAGTTTTCTTTTTCAACAAAATACTCAAAACCAATACAAATATTCTTAATAATGGATAATAATTAAATAATTAAATTCCAAAACAACTCAATATATAAAAATAAGTTTAGAAAAATACTTAGGAAGGTTGAAGAGTTTAAACCTGAAAGAGATGCAAGTGTCTTGTGATGGAGAAGTGCCGTGATAGGGATTAAAAAAAAGTCCCAAAAAATTTTAAGTTTAATTGAGGGTAAAATAAAAAATAATTAAAAATTTTAGCCTATTATTAGGAACTCAGTAATAGCCTTACCAAAAAAATTGGTTGCTCTTAATGGGTCATCTCATTAATTTTGGACTAAGATTGACATTTCTAATTACCATGTTGTTGAAATTAAATCCTAATTGACGTTTCTCAACGAATGCCCTAAAATATATCACCTTCTTCTTTATATATATATATATATATATATATATATATATATAGTGAAAGGTTCCCATGCGGATGTGCGGTGGATTAATGTGCGTGAGATTTGTACTCAATGTGCGTGAGTGTTGTGCTTAATGTGCCTAAGATTTGTACTTAATGTGCGTGAATGTGTAAAATGCAGCAGAAAATATTGATGTCAGCTTATTCCCCATCCCTAGTAGCCATTGCCCCCTCCCTGATGATGATGATGCGGAGGCGGGCAATGGTGGTTAAGAATTATGGAAATAATACAACAGAAATCCATACTTAGCTGCTGTGCAAATTTTACTGTGCGTGCGTCATCTATATAAACATTCAACTGCACTGAAGGTAGCTGATAATCCAGAATCCATGCCAAATTGAAGGAAGAAGTAACAAGAAGCTTGGGTGTTAATGTGCGTGAGTTTCTGTTCTACTTTCTTCTGAGCTCGTAATTCTGAAATACTCACGCACATTAAGCACAAATCTCACGCACATTAAACACAATACCCAGGCACATTAAGTACAAAACTCACGCATATTAACATGACACATATTAAGTACAAATCTCAGACACATTGAGTACAAATCTCACGCACATTAAGTATAAACCTCACGCACATTAATCCACCGCACAACCGCACGGGAAGCCACAAATGCACCTGATCCCTTCCACACACACACACACACACACACACACACACACACACACACACACACACACACACACACACACACACACACACACACACACATATATATATATATATATATATATATATATATATATATATATATATATATATATATATATAGACTGTGAGAGGAGCAACAGAGGAAGTGACGTGAGAAAGAAGAGGCTAGTGGAGGAAGAGTTGGAAAATGACTTCCTACAAAAGAAAAAATAAATAAAGTCATTTTTCCCCAAAATATACCTTTTTTTATTTGACTTAGAGATCATTTTTCATTAACCTCATTTCTCCCCTCTTGCCAAACACGAAAAATCAGGGAAATGATTTCAGAAAATCATTTTCTGGGTTTCCAAATACACCCTTAAATTTTTTTTTTCAAGGGACACCCTTATATTTTTTTTTTAATATCAAATCGGAGGGGGGTACCCAGGGAATCAAGGACATCTGGGAAACAAGGCGCCCAGCTTGTCGTGTCTAATAATATCACTCAGAAGCGGAGGATCATAGTGGAGCGCATGGAGGCCAATATGATGGGCGAGCGCCGCCGTGGCCAGCCAATCCGCCGCCTTATTTCCCTCCCTGAGAACGTGGTTGAATTTTATCTCCCTAATCCTTTCGGTCTCGCGAATACACCGCCGTACAATATTATTATCCAAATCTTGCTCACTCGTCAGCCCGCGGAAATTATCCAGAAGACGCTTAGAATCACACTCAACTATGAGTTTTGACACCCCATGCTCGTTGGCCATGCGCAGGCTGTGATACAGCCCCCAAGCTTCCGCCTCGAAAGCTTGGCATCGCCCTATGTTAACAGTGAAACCTCCACGCCAGTCGCCGTATTCATGTCTGATGAGGCCACTCCGCTACCTTTGCAGCTACCATTGACGTTGAGCTTAAGCCAGCCACTGTCTGGTTTTTTCCACCCCACCTGGGCAGCCGGGTTCCTCCCTGTTTCCTTCTCCAGGTGAATGCGCTTAGCAAACGCAGCTTGAACTTCCATGTTGTAGTGAGCTAGCCATTCTAACTTGCGTTCCACCGGAATGGTTTGGCCGTTGAATATTCCTTCATTCCTCCAGCGCCATAGCCACCACAACCTAGTACAAAACTTTTCCGGCCAGTCATCCCCGAAGCCCTGGCTTGCCTCGCCCTTCAGGTTTGTCGCGAGCCATTGTTTCCAGGGCATGGCATTCAAAATAGCCGTTGTACTCCTAGGAAGAACAGGTTCCCATACACTTCTTGCCGCCGGGCACGATCTGAAGAGATGAGATAGGTCCTCGATCTGTCCTGCACATAAGTAACAAAAAGGGTTAGAGGTGAGATGTCGCCTAGTTCTCTCAGCATTGGTGAGGATCTTCTCGTGCCAAATCAGCTAGAGGAACATGCAGATCTTCGCTGGTACCCGGATGCGCCAAAGCTTGCGCCAGTCCTTCTCGATGACGTCTTCAGGAGTCTTCACAAGATTTTCGTACATGGACCGGATAGAGAAATTCCCGTTGAGCTCTAATCCCCATCCCACCTTGTCGGGGAAGTGGTCTTCCGTAAGAATGTAACCTGCTAATTTTCCTTTGATTTCTGCCGTCAAGATGTTCTCCAAACATTCCCATTTCCAGCCCCGCGTCTCGTCCCAATAATCTCTAACAGGCGCGTAGAGATCAGGTAAAGCTAGTGGCACGTTGAGCTGAGCGTACAAAGGCTCAGGTGTTAGCCACTTATCCATCCAAAACTGTGTGTTCCTACCACCCCGAACCGAGCTCATGAGGCCCTGCTCCATTACCGGCCACGCTGCGGATATACCTCGCCACGCGTTCGATGCGCTTCGCCGCGTTTGCCTGACATCGTGCCCGTCCCTAGGATGTTTGTATTTTGTCTTTAAAGTTTGCGCCCAGAGGGTGTTGCTCTCCGTGATGAGACGCCAACCCAGTTTTGCCATATATGCAGTGTTCAGCTCGTTTAGGCGCTTGAGGCCCAGTCCTCCCGCATCTCGTGTCGTAGTGACTAGTCCTAGTTAACCAAACTCATCTTGTTTTGTGTTCCATTGCGTCCCCAAATAAAACTCCTCATCCTCTTCTCAATTTCTAGACAAATGCTTTTAGGGAGCGACGTTGTTTGCATGGTGTAAGCTGGGATAGCATTGAGCACAGATTTTGCTAGAACAACCTGTCCTGCTAATGATAACGTCTTCGCTTTCCACCCATCAAGGCGATTTGAGATCCTGGTAAGCAGGTCCGAATGGGTTGCACAAGTGACACGCCCGTGTATAACTGGTACGCCCAAATATTTGCCTAGATCGCCGGTGCTTGCAATTCCTAGCCGCCCTGTAATGTCCGCCGCGAGGCCTGGGTCCGTGTTCTTAGAGAAGAACACTTGTGATTTGTTGAGGCTAATTTTCTGTCCCGAAGCTTGACAAAAACGGTCCAAGCAATTCTTTACTATCCCAACCTGTTCTACTGATGCCTCCGTGAAAAGAACCATGTCATCTGCAAAACAAAGGTGGGTTAAAATAGGTCCATTAGTAGCAAGTTTGATACCTTTCCAGTGTTTCCTTCCCACTTCTGCGACTATAAGCTAGCTCAGTCTTTTCATACACAACACAAAAATTGCTGGTGACATTGCATCACCTTGCCTGATACCAAGTTCCGGGCGGATTGGCTCCAGCCGATCGCCGTTCTAAATGATAGATAGCCTTGGCGTGCGAATGCATGCCATAATGAGGTGCCTTAAGGGTCCAGTAAAACCAGCACAGTCAAGAGTGTTCTGGATGAAACTCCACGATAACCGGTCGTACGCCTTCTCTAAATCAAGCTTGATCGCCATGTACCCCTTGGCCCCCCGCTTTGTGCGCATGGTGTGCATAACCTCCTGGAAGATGAGGACATTGTCCGTTATCTGTCGGCCTGGTACAAAAGAACTCTGAAACGGCCCTATGATCTTGGGTAAGATGTGCTTAAGCCTGTTGGTAATAGTCTTGGTGATGATTTTGTAGCTCACGTTACAAAGGCTGATCGGCCTAAACTGTTTGATGTTCTCCAGGGCCTGTACCTTGAGAATTAGGGCAATAAGAGTGTCATTCAAACCATCCGGGAGGACTCCTGTCATGAAAGCCTTGTGCACCAGCTGAAAGATGTCCTCCCCAGTCACTTCTCACATGTGCTGATAAAAGCCTGCTTGGAAGCCATCCGGTCCTGGCGCTTTGAAAGGCTTCATGTCCTTGAGTGCATTGTGAGCCTCCTTTTTGGATACCGGTCTATTGAAGCACCTCCAGTCGAGGTCTCGTAAAGCCGGGAAGTTCGCCATGAACTGCTCTTGTGGGGTCCGAGTACCGTCCTCCGAGAACAGGCGCACGTAGAAATTTCGGATGTGGTCCTTTAACCCTGTCTCTTCCGTAATCCACTCTCCGGCGTCGTCTACCAAACTCCGAACGGAAGTGCGAGACTTGCGGATGGCTGCTGCTGCATGGTAAAAAGAAGTGTTCCTGTCTCCCGAACAAATCCATTCTTCCCTGGACTTCTGGTACCAAAGGAGCTCTTCCTGGTGTAAGGTGGTTTCTAGCTCATTCCTAAGCTTGCGCTCCAGTTTCACAAGGCCACGGTCGTGGGTTCTCGCCAGCACCTTCTGGATGCCACTAATCCGAGATAGGAGGATCTGCTTACGTTTGAAGATGTTTCCAAAAGTAGATTTGTTCCACTCTGACTATTTAGAGGCAAGGTTACGTGTGTTGTCCATAATGCTTTGGTCCTGCTTCCAATTACGCTCCACTACCCCTCGAACATCTGCATGGGTCAACCAGGCTGCTTGAAAAACGAAAGGCGCCACCGTGCGGTGTTGCCTTTCTCCCTGAACCTGTAACAAGAGAGGTGCATGATCAGAAGCAAAACGTGCTAAGTGAGTGACACACGCACCTGGGAACCGGGGCCTCCAGTCCGTGTTGCAAAAAGCCCAGTCCAGACGGGCGCCTTTAGGTATGCCATTACAACCATTCTTCACCCACGTGAGATTTGGTCCCGAAAAACCCAAATCAATGAGCCCCTCCTCCTGGATACAATTCGTAAAGTCCGAGCTTCGGTGAGCCTAGAAAGAGCTGTAGTTGCTTGTCTCATCCCTACTGATAACAGCGTTGAAATCCTCGGCTGCGAGCCAGGGTCCTGTGATGTCGCGTTCCGAGTGCCGAAGATCCTTCCATAACCTCCGGCGTAGGTGGTGTGTAGGGCTGCCGTATACCGGGGCTATAAGCCATGGTGGTTGATTGTTTTCTTCCACCTGCATAAGAATGAGCTGGGGGTGAGTATAGATAATCTTAATCCTTACCGAGTCCTTCTAGAACACCCAGATACCGCCGCTAAAGCCGAAAGCTTCCACCCTAATCCAGTCCAAAAAAACCAAGCTTTTTGCAAATCTCGTTAGCTTGGGCGCCGGACACCTTCGGTTCGAAGAGGCTGGGGATGCCTGGTCTATACAGGTTGAGAAGGTTTTTAAGGGCACGAAGGAACGCTTTTCCTCCCGCACCCTGACAAGTCCAAAAGATGCAATCCATAAACCAACTAAAAAAAGGGGAATAAAGAAAGACACAAGGCAAAGCAAAAATCAAAGAAAAAAAACGCAAACTGGGATTGCTTAAGAAGCTCCCCCGTTACCTCCATTTCCACACTGCGCTTGGACACCGCTGAGGTCCATTACCACATCACCTTCATCGTCTAAGATTTCCGGAGGATCGCTATGATGCTCTTTTAAAGACTGCCACACCGGAGACTGAATATGATCCCCTGCGTCCACCACACACACGCGGGCAGTCTGAATCACCAAACCTCCTCGTTCTCCTCTGACCACAACATGCTCGTCCTCTTCTGCCGCCCGTCTGGATGTTCCTCAAGTTCCCCGTCGCGGTCCTGATGCAGAGACGTGCTCGCTCGGATTCAGCCCCTGCGGTGGCGCCGGTGTATTCACAATCTGCTTTTCCTGCACAATCACGTTTGGCCGCCGGTTGCTATCCCCTCTGTTTAAAGTCGCTGGGCTCTTCCTTGGTGGTGGGTTGGTATTGTCGGCACTTACTGCCACTTGTGTGATCTCCCTCATATCCTCTGCTCGTTGGTCTGATATCATAGGTGGAATCGCGTCCAGGTTCTCCTCGTCATCCTCCCGCAATGGGGCAAATCTGGACGCCCGAGCTACCAAACCACCTCAGCCTCTCGTGGTCTCCCCTCGGCTTGCTGGTGATCTGGGGTTCCTGTCAGTTCCTGTTGCCGCCGGTCGACCTCGACGCTGTGGTGCGAGCATCTAGGCGCCAAAGGGGATGGTGGGATCCGAAGTCTCTTTCGCAGTAGTGCCGGTTGGTCGCGCAAATGCCAGGTTTACAACATCCGCCTGAGCCAAAGCCTCCTCCGCGATTTCATCGTTCTGGTCATCGCCTTCCTTGCAGAGCCTCGGGCAGGTCTCCTTTGCATGTCCATACACACCACACGAAAAACACACTAGATGAATACCCTCATAAGCCACGTACCTTACCTTACCTTCGTAGTTGAACTTCGAGATGATCGGCTTTCGCATGTCGATCTCAACGCATATTCTTGCAAACCGCCCTCTGGATCCCAAGCTGGTTGCCCGATCGAGTCGCACGGTACGTCCGATTCTATTGCCAAGCTTCCTGAGGAAAATAATGTCATAATATTCCATCGGGATACAGGGGATTCGCGCCCAGGCAAGCACTTTCTTCGTTGTGTCGTTCATCTGCTCGAAGTTCGGCTCCCATGGTTTGACGATTAGATAGTGGTCGACGACCATCCACGGGCCTTCATACATCGCGAATTCCAGGTCCCCAAACGAGCCGAATCTCACCAAATAGTAATCATTCTCCAGGGCAATCAGATCCATACCACCTTTCGGCTTCCACATCGCCGTGAGACGCCTCAGCATGTACGCATAGCCAACCCTTCGTCCCATCACCTTGATAATCAAAGATTTCCTCCATGGCCCCCTGATCATCTCCACCTCCTCCTTGGTCAGCCAGATCGTTGGACAGAGGGGGTCATCGTTTTCCTCCGCAACCAGATCCTCATGAACGCGTTCCTGCTCCGGGCTGCTCGCATGCGGAAACTGGCCTGGCTCGATCCATCCAGCAAGACTTTCTGCGTACATACGCCGGTGCTCCGATTGTATTTGATGGGGATCCGATCCCACCGGCACTGGCTGTGTCTCCCTCGTGACATGTTCCGCGATTGGGGCCTGCTCACCATCGCCTGGTATTTCATCTAAAGGCGTTTCTTGAACCATCTCCACCTCCTCCGCCAAACTGGCATCGGGGCTTATGAGCACCGGCAGATCGTTTTGCGGAGCTGCCTCACGTTTCGATTTCTTGGTGCTTCGCTCGAGAAGATCAAGATCTTCTGCTGAGCGTGGTGCCGAGAGCGTTTCCATGAGCATAGATTTGGACACCCTTACATTAATTAATACAATTAAAACAACAAGTTAATTAAGTTTTTATACTATTTCTTTACAATTTGGATAAATAAGTGCAATAGTACGTATTTAAATTATTTGCATGATATATTAATATCTATTTGTACACTACCCTATATAGATTTACCAAACAAATTTTTTTTTTAAATAATAGATAAAAACTTGAAAGTTAAACTATGCATATCATACTACATTATCTTCGTATGTACAATTTTTACATATAACTTCGATTTAGGGGAAAACAATTTTTACATATAACTTACATGCATGTTTATACAATACATATGTTATGTATTTATAAATGTTATATTTAAGCGTATATACATTACATATATTAATTACTTAAGTGTATTGAATACTTGCAAGTAATAGAGCCTAGTAACTTTCAAAAAAAGTATTGAATACTTGCAAAATATTTTGTAACCTAAAAAACATATATTTGGTTTTAAATGTAAAATTACAAATTCAATTTTTATACTCATAAAATGTACCAAATTTTTATTATTTTGTTATTTTTGAAATTTTTTTTACGAGTCGAGCAGGCCAAATAATTTAAATATAAATATCTGCTTATAACATGTGATACATATTTGCAGCCACCTTGATAAATAATTACTGATGGGAGTACTAATTAAGCAAGTGGAAACTAACTTTTTTGTTTTAGCTTTGTTTTGTAGCGGTGGCTTGCTTTTCTATTGCGTGGGGCCAATCTAATTTAAAATATATAGATTTTGGACGTAATATATTATGATTAGTTGATTACCAAAATCTAAATACTCCAAACTACTCCAACTTTTTAAATTAATATAACTTAAAATCATTGAAATTTTTTTTTCAACCAAAACGTTAATTATAATACATTTTTTTTTGAATATTTTTAATTATAATATTTAAATAATAAAAGATAACGACATATGAATGATATGTATGATTAAAAATTCATAATAAAATGTGATCTCAACTTGAAACTAACTTTTCGACAAAGATCATGTTTAATTTGGTACATGACAGATCCATTTATGGTATTTTGACCATTGTTAAAACTAAAAAAAATGCTATTATCACCGTTTAATTTGGAACAACAATTTTCTCCAAACCACTAAAATTCCATACCTTGCCTAAGAGAACATTTTTTTTTTTTTTTGAAAAAGTCCCAAGGTAACATTAGGAATTGGCGTTTTGAAAAAAAAAAAAAAATCTTTTTTCCAAAACGCCTATCTTTATTTATTAAAAAAAAAAAAAGCATTACTAATAAGAACCCTTAAACTCCTTTGCCTTAGCTTGCTAGGCTAAAATTATTGGAGCCTTGAGGGTCCTTTCATTATATAGGAGCCTCAAGGCTCCATTATCATTTTTTTCACCGATGTGAAAAAAGTGGTAATTAACGGCACATCTCCCCTTATTTTTCTAAATTTATTATTATTATGAAATATATGTACACGTTTATGTGTCTTTTTATATGTTAACCGCTAAAATAAGACACTTAATTTATCAAACATCTTTTTACAAACATATGATATAATTCATTAGTTAGACCTACTAAAACAACCCGCTATCTGCTAACCATTAACACAATTCACTAATTGATAACAGTTGATTGCCAAACAAGACCAAAGTATAATAATTATATAGAGAAAATTTCAATTTTGGTCACACAACTATATGGGCATTGTTAATTTCAGCACCTAACTTTTAAAAGTGTCAATTTAGTACCTTGAGAATGTAATTTTTGTCAATTTTGGTCACTCCGGTCAAATTACCGATCAAATTTTGACCTTTATCCAACATTTAGTCTAAAATCTGAAGGACAAAATGGTCTTTTCCATCCTTTCTCCTAATTGGTGTTGACCGAAGAGAAACATCGGACGATCCAAATTCATGGTCCCGTCGGCGATGCTTGCCCCTCAAATTTACCAACAATGCAAAATATTGAGGGAGCAGCCAGTATTTTGCTGGTGAAAGAACGACAGCACCGGTTGGCATACAGGAGGGGAGCCACAGAAATCAAGCAGCATCCTTTCTTCGAAGGCGTAAACTGAGCTTTAATTCGCTGCGTCAGCCCTCCCGAGGTGCCAAGAGCAGTTGAATTCGAGAGAATACCAGCTCCACCACCAGTACCAAGTAACCAGAAAAGCGTCGCTGCTGGAGTTATCCCCTCCTGTCCTCAGAACTCCAACAATTACCTCGAATTCGATTTTTTTTTTTTTAAGTGGGTTGGCATTTATTTTTCACTAGTCTATAAAACCATACATTGGTGCTCTTCAACATTTGGAAAATGTTAGATGTCTGCCATATTTATTTGTTGTTAATAATCATCATAGATTTACAGCATTGTTTGTTGTTGTTGAGAACAGTTCAAATTTGCCTCTTGTATTGAAAATAGTTGATCTGAATTTGCCCTTTGTATTGTATGGACAATATTCTGTAAGTAAAAAAAAATTGTTTGCATTGTTGGTAAATCTGAGGGGCAAGCGCCGCTGGCGGGACCATGAATTTGGATTGTCCGATGTTTCTCTTCGGTCAACACCAATTAGGAGAAAAGATGGAAAAGACCAGTTTGCCCCTCAGATTTTAAATTAAATGTTGAATTACATTTTTTTGGTTAAATTTGACTGACAATTTGGTCGAAGTGATCAAAATTGACAAAAATTACATACTCAAGGTACTAAATTGACACTTTTAAAAGTTAGGTGATGAAATTAATAAAACTCTTATAGTCGTGTGACCAAAATTGAAATTTTCTCTAATTTTATATATATATATATATATATATATATATATATATATATATATACACCAAACTACCAAAGTCCACTACTTTGGCGAGGCTAGAAAAGGCAATCGTTATGCCTTGGACCCGTGTCCAGCATGCTTGCTGGACACGGGTAACAGTGCCGTTAGGCACTGTTATCTCCTTTTTTTTTTTTTTTTTTTTTTTTTTTTTTTTTTTTTTTAATTTCAGATCATTTTGTTATTGAAGTATATGTTCATAATTTTATTACCATATGTTAATAACTATACATTCATAACTCCATAACTGTACGTTCATAACTCTATAACTGTACATTCATAACGTCATAACTGTACATTCATAACTCCATAATTGTACATTCATAATTTTCGAAGCTCTATGTTCACAATTTTAGAGCTCTATGTTCATAATTTTATCACTTCATAATTGTAAGTTCATAATGTTAGAGCTCTTTGTTCATAATTCGATCAATAACTGTACATTCATAATTCCATAATTGTAGATTCATAATCTCATAACTGTAGATTCATAACTCCATAACTGTAGATTCATAACTCTATAACTGTACATTCATAATCTTCGAAGCTCTATATTCACAATTTTAAAGCTCCATGGTCATAATTTTATCACTATATATGTTCATAATTGTAAGTTCATAATGTTAGAGCTCTGTGTTCATAATTTCATAATTGCATAACTGTACATTCATAACGGCATAACTGTACATTCATAACGGCATAACTGTACATTCATAATCAAAAAAAAAAAAAAAAAAAACGCCGTTAACGGCAAAACACGCGCGATTTATTTTTTTTTTTTTTTTAACTAAATGACGCGTTTTTTTTTTAAAAACGACGTCGTTTTGGACCCGTGTCCACAATTCAATGTGGACACGGGTCCAGAGCATAATTGGCTACCTCGCTCCTCACTTAGACCCTCGACTAGCCTGCCAAAATCTCAAAAGTTTAAGCTTAGTCAAAAAATTATTTAATACTTAGCCCCAGAGTTTAGTAAAATAGTAAGTTTATTAGTCAATTTTAGTTTATTTGATCACTATTAATTGTTTGAATTTGGTTAAAATAAAAATCAATATAAGTGATTAGTTAATCAGCTTTATGTTACTTTCACTACAAGAAAAATCATTTTTAGTGACAAAAAATTAGTGACGGATAGAAAAACACCTCACTAAATGTATTATTTGTATAGTTTTTGTGAGGGTTAAAAATTACTCTACCTAAAGGTTTATGATATAGTGACGAAATTTTAAGTTTATATTTATTTTAAAAGTATATTCTCGCTATTGGTACAAAATATGTTGTTACCCTCGCTATTGATGTTTGAAAATCATTTCGTTCAAACTTAATTCCCCCAAAATTTTATTGTTGGGCGCCCTCTTATACATAAAATTTTACAGCCAAACATCTTCCTTTCTTCTCTTTCCACCTCTTGTGCATCTCAGTATCTCCCCATCTCTCTTTCTTTTCACTCTCTATTTCCCTTCTCTTCACCATAAATTACTTGGGGGGTTTTTCTCAAGTATCATCACTAACTAACCATAAGGGAATTTCTTAGTTTTTTTTTTTTTTTTTTTTTTTTTTTTTTACAGTATTTCTCTAGTAACTTCATAATCTTCATATGTTGTTAAGACAAAAAGTCGCCGTTGCAAATCTGCGCTCGTACACTTCCCGCTGGACCAAATTCGCCGCGACAGTCGCCTCTTCCCGCTGTTCCTCCACCAACTCTGACAGCTTACAGCAGCAGTGCATGCATGGATCTTCGCCGTCGCTCGTCGCCATCGCTGTCTCTTTTGAGCTAGGGTTCATTCTATTACTCAAATCTTAAACCCTAACCCCTAAATTTCTAATTCCATTTATCCCTAAATCATAATTTCATTAAGCCCATTATAGCCCTAAATCTCTTTGTTGTTCTTTTATTGTAAACTAGTATTTGTCCCGTACGATGCATGGGAAATATGTTATAAAAATACCCTATATGAGGTTTATTCATATATAAAAATTTTGTTATTTAATAATTATGTGTGAATTGTTATGATAAAATTATGAACATAAATATATTTACAATTAAAATAAGAATTGATATTTAAGGTGGGTGATTACTACAAATCTTAAACTATATTAAAAATTTAGTGCATAGTATTTAATAATATTACAAATTTTTAAGAACTTAGTAAACTACAATAGTAATTGAATTACAATTTTCAGAGTCACCACGGATCAAAATTTTTAGACCTTTGAGATTTCTAACTCTAGATGTAACAACATACAATTGACCTTTAAAGACCAAACAATTATTTATAAATATAAATGAGTATTAATCATCATCACCATTTTCTAAATAATAATATAGAAGATCCAAAAAATTAAAGAATACAATAATAATAAGGATAGAGATAATAATTGTAACAATAATTGCTCACCAAAATAATAATTGTAAAAATAATTGCTCACCAAACCATGGCTATATTATAGTTAAGATTTATTAGTGAATTTGTTATATTTGAAACTTGTAATTAGCCAATAGATACATTACTATGACTATTTGTTATAATTAGTTTCTTTACCTTTAGTCTTTACAAAGTTGTATGAAACATTTCATTTTGGTGTGAAGTTTTTTAATATATTGATCGAGTTTACTTTGATTGCATTATGAGAAACACAATATCTATAATTACAACATAACATAATATCGATTAGTGGGAATTATAAAAATTAATATTTAATGAGAAGTAACAATATGTACAAAATTAGAAAAATAATACTCCGTATTTGACACAAAATTATAATTTTTAGCGACAGGAAAAATCTAATATAATGACGGGATTTTTCATCATTACAAGAATATAAAGAGAGAAAATTATGCTAGTGAGTAGTTTATTAGTGACGGGATTCTGTCACAAAAAGAATGTTTTAGTGATGGTAAATATACTATCACTCTATGCTTATTAATAGTGTCATATCTCGTCACTATTTGTTTTTAACCTCGAAAGAAATAATTATAGGCCGTGACGGTAAATTTCTCGTCATTAAAAGTCTTTTATGATGGTTTTTGAGTTTTTAGTGACAGTTTTACCTCTCACTAATGAACAATTTTCTTGTAGTGTTCAAAATCCTAAAATTAAAAAACCTGCTCAAAACAACTTTTTTTAATTAATTTTTTGATAAAAGAATTATACCAAACAGCTAATTTTCAAACACTTTCTACAATCAATTAATGTTATCAACTAGTTATACCCTCTTACCCAAACAGCTAACAACCATTTACCAAACAGGACCTTAATAATTGCATACTAAAATGCTTTATACTTTAAACAAATAGTAACACAATTTGTTAAAGTCAGTAATAATCTAGTGCAAAATAAATAGATAGTCTATAAGGAATTATCCAAATTAATTTGATTTCTCAAATTTAAAACTTTATTGTTTCTAATTTAATTAGTTTAATATAAAATATAATTTATGTTATAAATAATAATATGTTAGTTCAATTTAACATTAATCTTTAAAAAACCAATTTAAGTATTTGAAAATTAATATATATTTAATATGAGTCTTGTTTCAATCCTCTCAATGAGATCTTTAAACACTACTGGAAATTATGGAATTTCCGACCACCTGAAAATGATCTTAAATCAAGTTGATACCAAAAAGTGATCGGAAATAGCAACAAAGATTTTTCTGGATACCAAAAGTGGTCAGGACAAGGCTTTCAACTTGATTTAAGATCACTTTCAGGTGGTCGGAAATTTCATAATTTCCAGTAGTGAAAATAGAATAATTTATATTTAATAATATAAATTTTAAATTTAAGTATTTAATAAAGTGAAAAAATACATAAAAATAAATAAAGGATGCGTTTGGAATTGAATAAATAAACAATTAAGGACAAAATAATAAATTTAACCCTACTCTCACATTTAGGTAATTGCCGCTGGGTTCGAGAAAGAGAAGATGGCGGAATAGTAGAATTGCTATATATTAGAAGAACTCAGTATTTTACACACTAGAATTCATTTTCCCTTTCCATATATTATTAGGAAAATGATCCTTTATCATTTTTATTTAATTCTTTGTATTCTTATAAATACATCTCATCATCATGTACTTTATATTATCATAAATTGATCAATAATAACATCATTCTCAGAACTATTGTTCTCATCTAGTATCAGTAGATCAAACGATCCATAGACACAAATCTTACCAAGAAAAAAAAAACCGTTGTCGTCGCCGATCGGTGACACCTCCTCCTTTTCGGTTATTCTTCTCATCTTATAGAAAATGATGTTTTGACGCTATTTTGGATATGCTCTTATTGTAAATTAATTTTGATAGCTCTACTAAAATATTATTAATCAATTTAACCAACAAGTCATTAGTTTATTAGCATTATATTAATATATGATGTGAAAGGATTTTTGTAAAATAGATAAATAATATGTTCTTCTCAAAAGGTTGAATTCCCAACCCTAGCAGAGTATTTGGGAGAATGTAAATCATGATAATTTAACTGAATCAGTTAACCAGTTAGTTAGACCAGAAGTCCCATCACTTTGAGAGATTACTCCCAAATTGCTGCTAGTGAGATTTAATCCTTAATTATTCTTTTCAAACTCCACCTCTATAATCAGAGAGGAGATAAATAATATGTTTCACAAAATGAATTTTAGTTAATGAATATTAAAGAATAGGGATTAAGCATTAATGAGTAAAAATGTAAAATAATCGTGTGCTTTTGGCTGCCACAATGGCGGCTGCGTTGCGGGTACCCCACGGCTGGCCGTTCACTGAATGAAGTCAATTTACCTTTGTTTGTATGCTAAATGTAATCAACTATTAAATCCCGCACGTCAAGAACGAAAGACGTTAGATTTAGCAGAGCAAATTGGAGTCACGTCATATCGTGCATACTTATCACATTGTAAGCATTGAAAATTTAAATAATGTTATTGGGAAATGATGGATATTTATTTAATTATTAAATTAATTACTTTAATTAGATTAATTAGATTAATATTTATTAAATTGAGTTAATTAAATGGTTCAATAAATATTTAATTGGCCTAATTACTTAATTAAGAGTAATTGAATGTTGGATTGTTCGGCGCAAGATAGTGGAATATTTAATTGATCCATTTGTATTAATTGGGCTACTTAATTAGCGGATTTTGACTTGATTTGGCACATCAAAATTATATGTGGATTATATAATTTTGAAGAAATTTAGATAATTGGATATTATTTGAAATTGGATGAAAATCATGAATCGTGATGGCAAATTATTGTATGGACCATGGTCCACACATTGTTATGTGGACTATAACAAAAAGTATATTTTTAATATACTAAATGTACATTATTTTTGCACTGAATGTACATTATACAATGTTAGGAATAGAATTAGATTTTGATGATACCAAACTTGCTAGGATTGTATACCCCTATTTACATTTTGTTTTAGAACTTTCGTTGCAAACAAAAGTCATTGTAACTCAATGTATAATTTGCACGAACCTTAGTTGAGACTAGCATGATAGGTCTACTTGAAGACATGAAGACAAAGAGAAGAACGAGAGATCAATTCAGACCGAAAGATGGAAGGGTTTAACTCTAGAACAATCATCAAATGACAAGGAAGGACGAAAGATAAGGTCTATCTTTCATAGTAACCTTTCCGAGACAACAAGTCTAAGTCAGATTTGTAAAGACAACTTTCATTAAGTGAAGTAATAAGAATGTTGTCTATGTCTCACATCTGGGCAATCATCCTAGACAAAAGGTGTCCTAGGAATGATACTCACATAAACCAAGGAGCATTAAATGATTGGTACCATCTTGTTAGTGAAAAGGACAAAAAGCCATGGTGCTTTTTATCATCAATGGCTACATAGTACAACCAAATTAAATGCTTCATGCCCACTGGTCTTTATCCGCTGGTTATAGGTTCGAAATTTCATCTCCCTCCAACGGATGAATTTCTACTCACCTATAAATACCTCTCTTCACCATTGAAGAATGTGCTGATTGTTCAACAAATTTTATCCTTAGAAAAGCTCTTTAAACAAGCTCATTAATAAGCTTTTCATAATCAGCGTGGTACACTTGTGAAATTTTCAAAGAGGTTCATCCTACATCTACACTTCACAAACTTGAAGAAGTCTTGCATCTTTTCTCACGTGAAGATTTATCCAGTCAACAAGACAAGACTTCAACCTGTTGGAGAAACACAACATTATCTTTCCAACACTCAACTCTGAAGAAGAAGTTGATAGAGGCGGAGTAAACTCGAGGAGTTGAAAAACCTACCAAGTAGTTGTCCAGCTTAGTGATCAAGGAAGCTAGCTTGGAGTAGTTTGTACTAGGTGTGATAGTGCAAACCCTTTCACAAGTTGTGAAATAAGAGTGGAGTATGCTACGTTAACAGCCGAACCTATAAAAATCTCTCTCTCCATCCCTCTTTACTTTCGGTTGATTATCTTTCGTGCATTGCATTTCATACTGACCCAACGATAATTCTCCATAATGAAACTGTGCAAAGTTCAAACTAAAACAAACAAGTTATTTCGTTGTGCATCACTCCGAAAGGAGTTGCTTTGAAAAATCGAGTAGAGTCTATACACCCCCCGCCCCCTCTAGACTCTCCTTTCGACCCTACCGGGCCTATGATTCGAGCATGAGCCCAAAGAGTCTGAGGAATCAGAAACGAGAAACATCGCTCTTGCTGCAAGTCAACAACCCTCTACCTCAAGCAGGTCAAACTCTAACTCTACTGATTTCTTATCTGACGAACAGTTTTCCATGTTTGTGCGAAAGATGAAAAAGGTTCATGAGGAAAAACAACTTTCAAGATCATCAAAAGTTTCCAAATTCTTCCAACCGAAGGCAATCCGAAAGATCACCTCAGTCTTCGAAACAAGAAATGGTGAATGCACAAGCGCTATGCTACAACTGTAAAAAGTCAAGACATTTCAAAGCAAATTGTTCTCATCCTATAGTTCGCAAATACCAGGACCAGGAACCTAGCATGAGCTCACCGAAAGATGTTGCTGAATCCAGCAAAAGAGGTGGTAAACAAGAGTCAAGTTGTAACACCCTCGATTTTTACCACAATTTTTAAAGCTTAAATTCAAAGGTAAACATCTAATCATCAAGACACAAAGCAAGCGAAAGCTATATAAAATCGGTAAACGTTATGCCACACCCATAAACCATGGGTGCACAGGCTAGTCAACAACAATCTAACAAAACATAACAATACTAAGGCGCACAGGCCAACAAGGATAATCGTCTAGCAAGGGATCTATTCTATCTAAGTCCACATCTAGCGCGCTCGGCATCTACTCAAAACCTGTAAAAACATGGGGATAACACCTAGTCAGCGAATATTGCTGGTAACGCATCAATACGCGTTAAATATCATATATAGATAGATATAAACAAAACCATTTGGAACAGGAATACAATATATATCGTTTTAAAACCCAAGAGAGAAGTCAACACCAAAGACTCATCAATCACTCTCAAAAGAAACGAGGATCACCATCCTCACAACAACACAAGACCACAAACATGAAAGATAACACAACTCAAGATGCATTCTACTGATCACAAAGTAGGATACATCAAGACATGCTCATAAGAAAGGAATTCACATTCACACGGTGACAACTACATGTCACAAGTTACATAGTTCCAACCTTATGGCTACCCCCGACCTTATTTCGGTTCCAACCATTACCTCCTAGTGCCACCCTGTACTTCTGAGTCCAACATTTTGCCTCCGGGGACAGTCGTCCCCCCTCCAACAACCACCCACATTACCACCGAACTCTCAGTACACGAGGGTACCATTAATTTCATACACACAACCGCCAACTCGTGAGCAAAGCTCAATTAACAAACCGTCAATCTCAATCATAGTCACACAAGGTCATCATCATTACCAAGAAGACTAAGGTTCAACAATAACCTAAATCAAGTATCAACAAAGGGTACAACGATTTGCATACGTTCACATCATAGGAATCAATCAAGAGATCACAATAAAGACATGAGACCATACTCAACAACAAAGGATTACAATCCAACACCAAATGATTGTCAACACAAGTTGCCAATCCCAATGAGAAGGAACAAACCACACATACTAGCATTTCAACATCAAACTAGCATGCTTATTAAACGGGTAAAACAAAAGTAGTTCCAAAGAACGTTCAAGACTCACGTTAGCCCAACGAATCACAAAGTTGGACCCTTAGCATGATTCAAGACACCAAATCCTATCATGGATTCCTAACACACCGTTCTAGACATACGAAACATCAAGAAGACTCACAAATAGCCCAATAAATCAACAACGGGAGGTCAAAACATCAATACTGAGGAGAAAGAATCACAGGGAACAAATCCCCGGCCAAGTCCACAACGTTCCCCGCCGGTGGGCCACGGGTGTACCTCCACTCGCGGTTCCGCCCGTGGGTACATACCCGAGGCAGCCACGTACCCCGCGGGTAGGGCGGCGGGTAGGCCTTTGCGGGTACACCCTCCTGTACACAATAATCCCTTCGGGGATTTTCAACAACAATGCCAAGTCCAAGTCCAAAACACCCAAAATCTCACACATAACAACAATATGACTTGAACCCAAGAAATAGCCAAGCAATGGCATTCAAGAACCCTAAGAACAAGCTCTAAACATGCATCACCACAAGATACTGCATCAAATCTCACAAATCAACACAAGAATCACAAGTAGAAGCCAAGAATCATCATATAAGTAAGAAAATAGGTTTTGTAAAGCATGGGTTATCTTTGTAGTCTAACAACTTCCTCTTTTCACCCGTAAAAGCATTTCCTAGAGCTCTTCTTCCACACCAACTTCTTACATAAACCAAAACACAACAAAGATCCTAACTTTAGAAAAAGACAACTAAAAGAAGGTTAAAAACACCAAAAAGCTAAGGATCTTACCCTTTCCTATGCTCAAGATGAAGAAAGTAGGAATCTTGAAAGAAAATCTTGCAAGACTTGGATGCTCAATTTCTAGCTTGGAGAAGAAGCTAAATCATTTTAGAGAGAGGCTAGAGTTTTTGAGTTTTAGATTGAAGGGTGAATGAAATGAGAGTGTCTTGCTAGGTTAGCTTGAATCAAAATTCTTAGGTAGAAAGACATTCCTACCCTTACTAATGTTGGAAAGACAAGGGAACAAGGGCACAAATCAAGAAGCACAAGGTACAACCCTTTGACTTAAGTCACTAGTCAAAATCTAGTCCCTCGACTATTAAATTTCAGGATTTTTAGAAATAGATTAGCAAGGAAACTTGGACTAATTCTTCAATTAATCCTCGATTAGTGTTTGGATTTACGTGGTGTCACACAAGACAACCTCGACATGAAAGGAGAAGGAAAGCTCTTATGTCTGCTTAGCCAAGAGGAAGATGTAGATGATCTATGCCTAATAGCTAATGAAGATGAGGTAAATTTTCAAACCTCCTCTTCTACTCAAATAGAAACCAGCTCTGAAAGTGAAGGAAATCCAAATGAAACTATCTTTGAGATGATGCTGGATTCAAGATAACCAAAAACACATACTCCAAACTAAGAGAAGAGAACTCTCGACTATTGATCAACTACGATGAGCTAAGGCGCGTTAGAATCAGTAACATTAAGCTAGCCATCACCAATGATCAGCTTGAGAAGCAGGTTCTTCTTCTAAAGGAGCAGTGTACATAAAGAGAGTTACGGGAGCAACATCTGCGTGAGGTTCTTGATTCATTTAACAATTCATCCAATCTAATGGATCGATTAGTGAGTGGATCAAAACCGCCAGGGGAAAGAACCGGAATTGGTTACGACCCCAGCTCCTCATCACATATCTTGTTGAACAAACCTACAGACAATTACTCACATGAAAGTTTTAAGTCTGCATTTGTTCAAGGCCCTACCCAAATGTTTGAGCCTATGACTCAGATTAACAATGGCAATAAACCACAACCAACAAGCCAACCGAAAGAAAAGGCTGTACAACGAGTTGTGGAACCTTCAAATGGAAGATTCTTGAAAGGCAATCCTAGACACATTGCAAATGTCAAAAGGAATGGACCGAAAGATAATAGACCTAGTCTATACTATCAAAAGGGTCAGCCTACAAGGATTGACCAAATGAGGGTAAATCCGAATGTCACTCAGAGGCAAAATCGTTTTATGCATCAACGAAAGAATCCTTCACAAAGGAATCAGAAAGATGAATGAAACAGACATGCTAAGCCCAAGAGGTTACTTAGAAGACTAATGACGGGCAACGGATGGGGTGGACCATCTGAAGAAGATTGGCTTGTTTATCCCGAACCCTTATCAAAAGCAAAATTTGAAAAGATTCACATGTATAAACAAACCAACTATTCTAAGCAGTATCGCAATCCACCAGATGCCTATTTTCAAAGTCGATACAAAGCCAAAAATTTTGCTAAAATTTATTATGCTTATCGTCTATTTAATGGATACAAAGGACCGAGGATGAGTAATACCAACTCTAGGTTCGTGTGGATCCCAAAACTGTCTACTAACCCTCAAGGACCCGAAATCGAAGGGGTACGTAAAATTGCATAATTTTTGATTTCAGGAAAAACAAGTCATATGGTATGTCGACAGTGGATGCTCAAGACATATGACCGGAGACAAATCAAATTTGAGCAACTATAAAGAAATTTATGGACCAAAAGTTATATTTGGAGGAGATTCCAGTGGAAAAACATGAGGAACTGGAGACATCATTAAAAATGGAATGATCATTCGGGATGTCTCACATGTTCAAGGACTGAAATTCAACCTACTAAGCACCAGTCCATTTTGTGACAAGGGGTACAAAGTCGAGTTCTCCAAAAATGAATGAAGTAATCAGCACTGGAGATGGTGACACAGTTCTCACAGCAAGACGAAAGAAAAACATGTATGTCGTCAATTGGGAACTCTCTAAAGCTAATGTTTGTCTTGTTGCTAAAAGTAATGCAGATTTAAGATGGGAATGATACAACAAGATGAATCACCTAAACCTCAAAACTATCAACAAATTAGCGAAGAAAGATCTTGTAGAAGGCTTACCAAAAATACCATATATCAAGGATAAAGTGTGTGATGCATGCCAGAAAGGAAAACAAATCAAAGCATCGTTCAAATCCAAGTCTATTGATACAAACTTTCGACCACTAAGTCTTCTTCACATGGATCTGTTTGGACCAATTGATCCAGCTAGCCTAAGTGGACGAAAGTATTCACTAGTTGTAGTAGACGACTACACAAGGTACACCTGGACGATGTTTCTGAGAAAGAAGAACGAAACTGAGAAAATGTTGCCAGAACTGCTAAGACAACTACAAACTGAGAAAGAAGTGAATATCATTAGAATAAGATAAGATCAGATCATTAGTATATATAGATTTTGGATCCGGTGAGGTCATAGGAGTTGGTGTGTGTTTAGTGTGGTGGTGGTGGTGGTGGTGGGGGGGGGGGGGGGGGTTGGGGTTAATATCCGGTGTTCAATGGGTGTAAGTATTGTCGGTTTTTTGGGGCTTGCAGTGACTGCGTTGGCCGGCGGTTGGTGTGGCAGTGGTGTGGGACTACCGGGTAGGAGTTGTGGGTGGTGTTCCGGTGTTGGATTATTGCGGGTGGTGTAGCAGCAGTCGGTTGCGTTGCGTTGTTTGGGTTGCCGAAGGGGGGATGGGGTGTGTAACACCCCTAATTTTTAAAACTTTTAAAGCTTAAGGAATAAAGGCGAATCTATCATTAATTTCCAAACAGAGCATAAACTAAGCATAATAGTCGGGGTGCTATGCCACATCTAAGCTAGAGAACTTAGATGCACAGGCTAAACTAACTAAACAAGGCATAAACCACAATTAATATCCAAATACAAATTAAGGCACGCATGCCATCTAATCAAAACTAGAACTATCTAAACTAAGTTCACGGATCCAACTAGCGCGCTCCGAAGCTACTCATCAGTACCTGAAAAACATGCGGTGTAACAACCGTCAGCGAATAATACTGGTAACCCACTCCCACACATTAAGTACAATATAGGTAGATATAGGAAAATCATTTTGAAACCGGAATACATATATAACCTAAGAAACTCTAGCTTTAAAAACAGGATCAAGACTCGAGACACTATCAATAAGGCAACGTTTCGAATAGTATAGAGATACTAGCATGCATCCTACGTTTGCAAGGCATAATAGACAAGTAAGCTCATAAATAGCAATTAAAGGCAACAATGCGATCCAATGACAATCAATTAGCAAGTAATCATCAAAGCACACAATCCATCTTCTAACCTTATACCAAGTTCCAACCTTTACTCCTCTCCATCCTTATATCAGTTCTAACCTGTACATCCAGGCCACCCTTATATCGCCTCCCTTATTCCTCCGGAGCATGCATGCCCCACACCGAAACCACCAACATGGTAACACCGAAGTGCAATTCGCATGATCCATGTCTAAAATGCCTATAGCACTACAATCAAGGGGTCAGCGCATATAGCTCTGGAATGGCACCGCGGCGCTTATACCCTGACCCAAGCCTTTAGCCAGCAAGTCTAAAGAGTGGTCCGTGCCTTTAGCACGATAACCGAGCACTCGTTGTGCTATCCGCCAACAATTCATTTCGACCAATCACAATCTCATTATCATCAATCTCAACCATCATTGCGCAATGATCACAATACCCATCATCATTCAATCAATCAATCATATAATCAACAATAACAATCAAGGTACAATAACAAACGATACATGCTACATACAAATTCCTAGAACGGTACTCAAAACATCATACGAGACTCATAAACATCAAACGGGGTACAACAGGACAAGGGGAAACAACAAATGGGGAAAAACAGGCCACCGCACCACCACATTCTAGCGGGTGGAGGACCACCCGCCGGTGGGCAGTCAAGTTTCCAGCGGGTGCCCGGCGGGTAGTCGATTGCCCGCTGGAATTGGGCAGTCAGGGCCGCGGGTAGGTGGCGGGGGTTCGCTTCCCCCACCTACCCCCCACTGGTACGAAGGTAAATATTCGGTTCGGTGTTCGTTCGTGGAACCCAAAACCATGTCCAAACACATTCCAACACGTATCAACAATAACACGGATTCGATTAACAAAGATTGAACCAAGAATCATTCCAATTACATTCTAACACGATTTCTAAACATGCCAAGAATCGACATCAATCACATAACGGTTCAGGAGCATCCGGAACCTCAAGAACATTAAGAAATCTATATACAAAGCCCTAAAGACAAGTCCTAGACTAGAATCTATTAGGACTCTTATATTAGTTGTTCGTTAGGACTCTTTATCTACTCTCTATATTATCACTTGTTCAGACTCAGTTGTATTTTGGATTCAATAATATTCAATAATCAAATCCTCATCTGGTATCAGTTTCCAGGTTTCTTCCATGGGAGACAACAATGACGGTTCTGTTCGAGAATCTACTGAACGGACTGTGTCCGAGGTTGCTCCCGTTCATCCCCACCCGGTTCCGAGTCTATCTTCGGCGCATCACTTCGTCTCGCTTAAGCTTACCGTTCACAATTATTTATTTTGGAGGACTCAAATGCTTCCGTTCTTGGAGGGGCAGGGTCTCCTTGGTTATGTGGATGGTACGCACGCCTGTCCGACCAGTGCAGCGCCGGTGGAGTCCACGGCGGACAACAGCACTGCCATAGCATCGGGTTCAGCTTCGGAGTGGCGTCGGCAAGACAAGGCCATCTTGTCTCTTTTAATTTCGTCGCTGTCCGATGAGATGATGCACATGGCTGTTGGTCGAACCACTTCCCGTGCCTTGTGGTTGGCCATTGAACAGGAACTCGGATCGGCGACAAGGTCTCGAGCCCTGCGGCTTCTTGGCGAGTTGCAAGCCCTCACTCAGGGGGAGTCTTCTGTCTCGGACTATCTCGGTCGAGCACGGATGCTTGTAGAAGACTTGGCGCTTGCCGGCCGTCCGATCACGCTGGATGATCAGAATATATATGTTTTTCGCGGGTTGCGGCCGGAGCTTCGTCCACTCGTTGCACCCTTGACGCATGGCTCTCCGGTGACGTTGTCCGAGCTGTCCGACTACCTTACTTCTCAGGAATGGATTTGTGCAGCCGGCGGCGGTGGTGTTGGATCGCCGGCAGCTATGGCCGTGAGCCACGGCCGTGGTGGCGGCCGCATGAATGGCGGGCAGAATCGTGGTGGTTCGGGCAGTGGCGTCTCGGGCAGTGGTGGCTCGGGCGGTGGTGGCTCGGGTCGCGGTGGCTCAGGTGGTGGCCGTGGCCGGGGTCGGGGTCGGTCCGATGTGCGATGTCAGATTTGTGATAAGCAAGGGCATTCCGCGTTGACTTGCTACCGCAGGTATTCTGAGTCACCCGGTCCTCAGGTTCACATGACTTATTCCGGAGATGTGGGTGGCTCGGTTGATTCTCATCAGTGGTTTCCTGACACGGGTGCCACGATCTATGCTACACCTGACTCCTCGGTGTTGACTTCCGCTACTGGCTATGATGGTTCTGACACTCTACGGGTTGGCAATGGTACAGGTATGACTATACTTAGTGTTGGTACTGCTTCGATAGCCTCTTCTCGTAAGCTTTTTCATTTAAATGATGTCTTGCATGTCCTTGGCCTGTCGTCCTCTTTACTTTCTGTTCAGCGTTTTGCTAGGGATAATCGTGTCTTTTTTGAGTTTCAT